CGTCCCATGAGTTCCAAAAAACGAGATCCTTTCCTTTTTTTACATCCACTTCTTGCAGGTTTCCTTTCATTGTGTTTGGTACAAAGCTTTAACATAGGAAAAGAAAAGAAAAGAAAAGAAAATAAGCATAGCGATGGACAATTTTCTTTAGTACAGGGCATTGCAATAAATCTAATTAGCATCCAAATTAAATTTTGGGAATTATTATTATATAGTAATGCACTGTACCATGCTCAGAAATGATTTATTCTAGAAACTGATCAGGAAATGAATCTCTCGTGTCCATTTATATATATTTGTCTGCGCTCTAATTGTGCACAGAGAAAATAACAAGTTTCAGTAAAAATAAGGCTGGGAACAGAAATGTTAAGAAAAGGCATTCTTCATTAAGATAAAAAAGGCTCTCTGCTGCTTAGAATGTTGGAAGCCAGAGCATTGTGGTCATTTATCTTTTGGTGAATGCAGCAGTTTATCAGCTTCTTTTTGCCCTCTGTTATTTTTTCTTTTTTTCTCTCCCCCCCCCCCCATCTCATCGAGCAAGTCAACCTCCCTAAGGTATTTTGGGCAGCAAGCGATAAAATAACTTTTGTTCTGCTATCTATCTTTAGGGGGACATATTCTCCGTATCAACTTTACTCCTCGTCTTCACTCGCCCTATTTCTCTTCCTTCCTTCCTTCCTTTTCCCCTTAGCCACTTAGATTGCTGATAAAAGCCTGGGTAAGATTTGCCTGGTTACTCATACTGCAATTTCCACTAGACTCCATTCCGTTGGCTGCTGCCAGTAAGACAGCCAATGCATGGTGGCTTTGAGACATGGGTAAAGTTGGACTCAGATGGGGGGTGGGTCACACAAATCGCTCCATGCATACAAAGGAGGTTGTTGAACTTTTTTTTTTTTGCCAAAGTTGTTGGGCTTTTTATATTTTTGGCCAAAGTTGTTGGGCTTTTTTTTTGCGAAATCTCCAAAAAGAGAGAGAGGGAGAGAGGGTTTTGAGCTATTTTTTTAGGAAATTTGCCAAAATCTACACTTCCAACATGGGTTGCCATATGTCTGGATATTCCCAGACATTAAAGTGATTTGCGCCCGGATGCTATTTACAAAAGCCGAATCCCAACTATGTCCTGGAAATTCCGTCGTATGGCAGATAGATAGATAAATTGATATAGATATACAGTGGTACCTTGGGTTACATACGCTTCAGGTTACAGACTCTTCAGGTTACAGACTCCACTAACCCAGAAATAGTACCTTGGGTTAAGAACTTTGCTTCAGGATGAGAACAGAAATTGTGCTCCAGTGGCAGCGGGAGGCCCCATTAGCTAAAGTGGTACCTCAGGTTAAGAACAGTTTCAGGTTAAGAACGGACCTCCGGAACGAATTAAGTTCTTAACTTGAGGTACCACTGTAGATAGATAGATAGATAAGCATTTGTGTCAAGCAAGTTCCAGACATTCCAATTCATCTTCCTTTCAGTTTCCTTATCTCAGAAACAGAAGGGGAGCAGTGGCAAAGCTCCACTGGGGGCGGAGAGTAGGCGGGGGCGTGGCTGGCGCGCATCCCAGGGGCGTGGCATGCACCCCAGGACATGGAACGTCGCTTGCAGGGGCATGGCGTGCATCACGAGGGTGTGGCACGCTGCCCACAGGGCCGTGGTGTGTGACCTGGGGGCGTGGTGCGCTGCCTGCGGGGGCGTGCCGCCTGGCATGGTGGGGGGCATGGCGCATGTCCGGGGGGCAGCTGCGATGGTACACCCTTCCCCGATGGTACCAGGGTTGGTGCGCTCCCCCACCCCCCCGTTCTTCCGCCAGTGGGGGGGGCACTTGGGCTTATTGTATCATGCAGCGGTAAATTAATCAACACAGAGTCTTTTTCATAAACAGAATGAAACTTTACTGAAGAAAATAAACTTGTTCAGAAGCAGCATAGTTAAAGAGCATACACAGAGTGCTCATAGCATATATCTGACTCTTCACAGAGGCACAGTCTTAGTGATTTTCTAGAGTCCTGGAGCCACTCTGTCTGCCTTAGCTTTCCATAGCAACAACAGTGGCACTATTCCACAGACTACCATAGCTGTCAACTTTCAGATTTGCAAATAAGGGATCAGCAGCCTCACCTGTCCCCGGGACAGTCTACGGGATATCTAACAATCCGAGATAGTAGCGGGAAGCAGCAGGAAACCGCGCTGGAATAAGGGAATTTCCCACAAAAAAAGGGAAGGTTGACAGCTATGCAGACTACTCCATACACAATCCATACAGCTGTCTGACTGAGGCCCATAGAGAGGCTGGCTACTTTTATAGGGAGAATGAGTCATCACCCAAGATGAATCACGAGTCACAGTGACTTAGCAGTTTGCTGTTAACAGTTAGCAGTTAGCAGTCTTAGGCTTGAATGATTGTGTAGGCTTGTAGGCCTTACTGCTTTTTCTGTTCTCAAGAACCTTTATCTCATGGCATATTGCACATGAGCTCCAAATTAACTTTAATCATGCAGCCTGAATCCCACTGAAAATCTGTGATATCTGGAAGCACCCAAACAATCTAGCGCATGAAAAAATTACAAAGCATCCTCCCTAATGCCCAAGCTGAACATGGAAGATTTTCTGTTCAAGTCAATCATGGGTACTGCTTTTCAAAGCAGACACTAATTTAAAGTCAATTAGCTTCCTGTTGCATAAGAGCTTTGTATAATCTGTTCTTAGATAGTGAATGGCAGATATTAAACAAATTCCCAGTGGAACACAGGTCAGGAGACAAAAAATATCCAATGGCCTTAAGTAGGCTGCCTGGCAGATAACAAAAGATCAGAAGGAGAAGATTTTTTATATCGCCCAGCTGAAATGGTAAAAGAACTTCAAAAGGTTGATGCTACATTTAATGAGAGTTGGAAATATGAGTTTCCATTCACTTTTGAAGTTCTTATATGCAAACATTCTGAATTCCTTTTTTACATAGAATCATAGAATCGGAAGGGACAAGGGTCAACTGGTCTGACCCCTTGCAATGCAGGAATCTCAACACATGGTACCCTATCTAATACATAGCTGTCAACCATCCCTTATTTGGCGGGAAACTCCCTTATCCCAGTGCCGTGTCCCGCTGCTGTGCCTTATTGATGATGTCCCTTAAATTTCCCGGGTTTCAAAGGAAGCAGCTCCTCTCCCTCCCTCCCTGCCGGCCAGGGAGGAGGGAGGCTCCAACTGTGTTGCTTGGCTGCGTTGCTCACCCAATAAGGAATCTAAGAACGACTGGGGGGTGGAGCTCGCATGCCATGTGCCGATCAAATCGGCCGCAGTGCCTGGGGACTCGCCTTTGCTCAGTGCTTCCCAGCGGAGAGGTGACAGTGGTTTTCCTTGCTGCATCCCCTTTGCCAGGTTGCTGTGCTGTGGGAACCACCACTTGAGACTTCGTTTGGCTGCTGGCTGGGCTTTCTGCCTTTGGCTCAGAGGGGCTCAGTAGTTGAACATACCTGTGCCCGGAAAATCCCTTATTTTGGCTGCTGATCCCTTATTTTCGAGGCTGCTGGCCCCTTATTTTCAAATTTGTAAGTTGACAGTTATGATCTAATTTGAAACCATACCAGGCCCAGCTTAGCTTTGAAAATTTTGCTAGCAGGTTTGGTGCTGCATCCCATGGCTTCATTTGGGCCTGATTAACATCCCTTGTTTTAATACTGATTGTAATAAAAAGGTAAAGGTAAAGGACCCCTGGATGGTTAAGTCCAGTCAAAGGCAACTATCGGGTTGCGGTGCTCATCTCGCTTTCAGGCCGAGGGAGCCGGCGTTTGCCAACAGACAGTTTCTGGGTCATGGCTAAATCGCTTCTGGCACAACGGAACAACGTGATGGAAATCAGAGCGCACGAAACCGCTGTCACCAGGATTCAAACCACCAACCTTCTGAATGGCAAGCCCAATAGGTTTAGACCACAGCGCCACCCATGTCCCTTCTAACAGATCATAATACAGTGGTACCTTGGTTTAAGAACAGCTTAGTTTATGAACCACTTGGATTAAGAACACTGCAAACCCAGAAGTAGGTGTTTTGGTTTGTGAAAGAAGAACATGTTTCGCTTCCTGTCCATTTGTAAATTGAGTCCCCCACTGCTATGGGAAAGCACGCCTTGGTTTAAGAATGCTTTGGTTTAAGAACGGACTTCCAGAACAGATTAAGTTAGTAAACCAAGGTACCACTGGATAAAGATTGAAAGATACAAATCTACCATGTGGCAAGTTCACGCATCGTTTTATTTCTCCCCACTTGATAACCAAATATTTGTCTCTCTGTGTGTGCAAGTGTGTTTAATTATCATTTGCTTGGATCCTAATTTTTCTTCTGTGAACCAAACCAAGTTGACTTTCATGGAATAGGGTTTTCTTGCCTGTCAATTTACACTGCAGCCCTCTCTGCCTTCCTCCCGAGACATACACCTGAGAGGTGGGGGATCTTGAAGAATAGTGTGGGGTGTGGGATGTGCATGGGATTTCAGACAGAGGTAGTTGTCAGAAACCACCACCCCACTTTGAATGAAGGAGCAACATAGGAACCAAGTCATTGTGTCCAAGGTGATATGAATGCTTTCTCTGTGGTGCTTGATATTTGAAGTCTTATTCACACATGCCAGTCAGCCAACTTTGTTCTGTGATGAACATGCATGTGTGGATCAGTCCCAGTTGACAAGAATCAATTGTTACTTGGCAATAAACAGTGGGCACACTGACCGACTTAGGACTTGCTTTAGATTTTTTTCTCCTGCCAATAGAATACTAGAAGGAGAAAAAAAAACCACCCCTGTCATATTTTATCCAGAACAAGCTCCCATTTTTGTATCCTTAATTACTGTCAGGTGTTTCACTGCAGCAGAACTGTCACTATTTTAAAAGGAGGAGATGTGTCTAAGCTTTCTACATTTGTAGAAAATGTGAATGGAAGCAAACTATCTATCGAGACAAATCACACTACCACTTTATAAATTTGAATGTAATTTGTTTTTAAACCATATATACTGTATATGTGTATGTGTGTGTATATATATATACACACACACACACACACACACACACACACAAAAACACACACACACACACACACACATTTACAGATGAGCTTTTTTCTCAGCATTACAAGGACATAGGAATAACTGCCTCTGAAAAGCTGCCTCCAAGGGAGGGTCAGAATCCCACCCCACTCCCAGATTTTACACAAGAGGGGAGTGGTTGTGGTGTGGTAAAATTTCACTTCCGTGCAACGTTCTTGGGACAACTAGAGCAGGCCTCCAGAGCATATATGCAGAGCATATATTCTCCTATTTGATTTTTAATACAATATGAAGAAGAATTTTGTGTGGTGGGATTGGGGATGTTTTCCCCTCCAATGCAGGTAATATTCCATCTGTAATTGAACTGAATGGAGCCATTAGACGCATGGAATTCTGAATGCAGACTCCCATGTGAACGATTCCGAACCATTCAAGGTATATTTGAGTGTGGGACTGGTTCTTTCTTTTATAAAAATGAACAATGAAAAGGCAAAAAAAGGCAAGCTGAACAAAAATAGATGTTAGCAATGAAATCACGGTGTCTCTAATGAAGGAGCTAAATACCAAATGTGATTTTAATGAATGAGTCATGAAACAAATGACGTCTTTAAACATATGTAATTAGAAATTATAAAGGCACTCCTTGCGTGACCATATTACTGAGTTCCCAAAGGTCGTGTGTGGGTTTGAGCTCAGCATACTTTTACAGCACCTCTGGTAAATTTTACTGAGCCCTAATAATCTTACTGGAAGAGCTATTAATAGTAGCCAAGATGGCATAGTTCCAAGACCTTTGCCTGGTTATCAGATCATAGCAGTTGTTCTGAGATGGAAAGTGACTGTTCTCCTGGCTTCCAGTGACTGAAGTTTTCTCCTTACTGAGCCATTTCTTCAGTCTCTTAAGGAAAGTCATTCCTTAGTATCACTTAGTAGGACTTGGGTTTTCTCCGCCTAATGTGACTTCATTGGTTTGTGCTGTGTAGCACAAGCTTCTTATCTTTCACCCCTGTTATTTAATACTGATATAATGTATGAAGCCACTCAGAGAAATCACTCACAGTCATTTTATGACTCTTATGCATATGATAAATCACTCTGGGTGACAGTTTCTTCCAGTTCAGAGCAGCATCACCTTCCATCTCTGCCTGCTTTATTGATAACCATCTTTGGATGGAATGCTGGCTGCTGCTGCCCAGTTCTGATGAATCTGAAATAGTAGAAACAGAGTTCTAAATGTGCAGTTCTTGCTAGACGATAAATGCTTTCCCGTCTTCCTTTCTTTTTGGAATATGGGAAGACATTTAGGCTGCAGCCATTTCATTTGAACTTTCATTTTTATTTCAAAGATATGTCTATATGTGTGCATGTACAGTGGTACCTTGGGTTACATACGCTTCAGGTTACAGACTCCACTAACCCAGAAATATTACTTCGGGTTAAGAACTTTGCTTCAGGATGAGAACAGAAATCGTGCTCCGGCGGCGCAGTGGCAGCGGGAGGCCCCATTAGCTAAAGTGGTGTTTCAAGGTTAAGAAAAATTTCAGGTTAAGAACGGACCTCCGGAACGAATTAAGTACTTAACAGTGGTACCTCGGGTTACATACGCTTCAGGTTGCATACGCTTCAGGTTAAACACTCCACTAACCCAGAAATAGTGCTTCAGGTTAAGAACTTTGCTTCACGATAAGAACAGAAATCGTGCTCTGGTGGCGCAGAGGTCCCACTAGCTAAAGTGGTGCTTCAGGTTAAGAACAGTTTCAGGTTAAGAACGGACCTCTGGAACGAATTAAGTACTTAACCTGAGGTACCACTGTATGTTTATCTCACAAACATATTGCATACAAAAGAACAGAAAGCATTGCCAAAAGGACACCCATCTAATCATAGCAGTAGAACCATCTAGCTCCATTTTTGGAAGGCTGATTGCACCAGTTGGGACCCTCCTTTAATATAAGGCATAAATGATTACCACTGAGTAGGAAATGCCTTTGCTCAAGGAAGCCTTCAGCTACTTTCATATGATGTGTGATCTTCACCATAATAAACTCATTTCAGAGTCTAAGGGGCCAGGAGTTCACTGGCTGAGATTGTCCATCTTTTCTGCATTTGGCAACCTCCAGCTGTTCAGCACCCAATGAAGGAAATTATTAAGTCCATGTTGGAGAGAGCATGATGCACTGAAATTTCCAGATAGATCCCCAACACTGAAAGTTTTAATACATGGCTGCCACATAAGGCTTAATTCTGAGGTAGGAAACCTGTGGCTGTATAGATCTTGCTGCACTACATTTAGGAATTTGTTTATTTGATGGACCAATTCCAATCTCCGCAATGGGGGAGCTCCCGTTGCTTGGTCCCAGCTCCTGCCAACCTAGCAGTTCAAAAGCACGCCAAAAAAAAGTGCAAGTAGATACATAGGTACCGCTCCGGCAGGAAGGTAAACGGCGTTTCTGTGTGCTGCTCTGGTTTCAGTGTTCTGTTGCGCCAGAAGTGGCTTAGTCATGCTGGCCACATGACCCAGAAAAACTGTCTGTGGACAAACGCCGGCTCCCTTGGCCAGTAAAGTGAGATGAGCACCGCAACCCCAGAGTCGTTCGTGACTGGACTTAACTGTCAGGGGTCGTTTATCTTTACCTTTACCATTTTTGATGGACCAAGAGAAGACTGGTGGAAATGGGTTTTATTAGATTCCTTAAAAAATCTTCCCAACCAAATTTTCCATCAAGCTTCAGGATTCTGAATTACCTGATATCAATTCCAGATTACCATCAATAGTCTCTGAATGTACTACTTCCACATTCTTATTTCCTTCATTTGCATAGAACACAAGAACACTGTCTCCTTTTTTCTGACTTTCTAACTTTTTTTGTTTTTTCTTGCTTCTGATTGATGTTCTGGCTTTATGTTTATTGCTGCGTTTTTGTGGTTTAATATGAGATGCTCTTATAATTTTCATGTTTTTATATTTTGTATTTGCTATTTCAATGAAATTCGTCTTATTATTTTGGCACATAATATTTTCATCATTTTGCAATATTGATATGCCTTTTGTTCCCAAACAAATTTAATATATCTTGAGAAATAGCTTTTCTCTAACGGTTTTATAAAATTTAATTTTAAAAAAAGAAATGGAATGAATGAATGAATATATTAAAATCAAGTGTGCAAAGGAGAAATGTTTTAGCCTAATCTTCTCCTTGGTTTGAATGCTTTCTGAGTGGAAGGGGTCTTGAAGATGGAGGAAACACAACCTTGCCTACTTGTGTTCTAAGGTGGAATTGTCCAGGAAGGACTCTAACCAAATTTGAATTAGCCTCCCCTTAAACTGCATGCCAAAACATAGTCATTTTCATTGTCAAATCAATCAAATTTTATTATGCGGTCACAGACCCATTAAACATTTTCATTGTCCAATTAGTGCTTTGTCAATGTGGTAAAAGTCACCAGATGGGCACTGGCAGTTTTGTTGCAGGATGTACTTCATAAAATGATGACCTGTTTTCATGCAATCTGAACCCATAATCCATCAATGCCGACATCTTAATTATATGGGTTGAAGGCAGACTTAGCCGTGCTTAGAGCAGCCATTGAAATCAATGGGACTTAAGTCAGACAAGGGTCTACTCTCAGTGTGACTAAGTGCCCAACCTCATGTTTTCATGAGCCAGGTTGCAGCATCCAAGGAATTCAAAGAACTGGGATCATGGTGACCTCAGTACAATAACCACAATAAACACTAATTTCCAGCATCTCTTCCTTCTGCCCAATATTAAGTATTTATGCAGTTTCAATCATTTCTAACAAAGTTATTAAACTACTAAAACATTTATTAGCTTAAAATATCTCCAGACTTTAGGAATGTGCTGGATCCATATATTACAAACAACAATAACAATGGATATGACAAGCAGCGATTTAAATGAAATTAATTTCCCCTCCGGGTTTCAGCAAAACCATAAACCAATCAAGACCTCTTCTCCTGTTATATTATATCGTCAGATTCCCAAAACCCTCGGTGAAATTATTTCCTTGTAAATCATGGCAGCTCATCCATTATGCTGAAGAAATATGATTTTCAAAAGTGAGAAATATAAAAGGCCGCAGATTTTCCTCACTCTACCAATATCTGTCAGAAGTTCTTCGGCAGTCTGAAGGGTCCAGGGTTTAAGCAATCAGATCTTTGAAATTCAGAGAATGGATCTGAAAGTCTGTAGTACAGCAAGCAGACATTTCGCAACCAAATCATTTGAAAGCAGCCGAGCTTTTGCCAAGTGCTTCTCCTGCTTCCTAAGAATAAGCATCCCCACTCCACCCCCACAAAATCACTTTGTGTCACTAGTCCCATGAAGAACTCCTGGAGAGGGTGGTCTGACTGATGCAGAGGAGAAGTGGGAGGATCTTGGGAATATGGAGGACTCCAATACAGGTAAGGGCTCTAGGCGGTTGTGGGAGGATGACAGGTCAGAACCCCAATAAATTGTTGACCTAGGAGAAAGTCCTAGTGGCACTGGAGAGAGAAGTATGGATCCACTGGAGGACTTGAGGGAGTGGTCTGTGGATCCCACTGTCAGGGAGAAGCCTTCCCATTCAAGCAAGGTGCATGGATAATAATAATAATAATAATAATAATAATAATAATAATAATAATAATATATCCTGCCCATCTGGCTGGGCTTCCCCAGCCACTCTGTGCGGCTCCCAATAGAATATTAAAAACATGATAAAATTAAAAACACGATAAAACATCAGACATTAAAAACTTCCCTAAACAGGGCTGCCTTCTGATGTTTTCTAAAAGTCAGGTATTGGTTTATTTCCTTGACATCTGATAGGAGGGTGTTCCACAGGGCAGGTGCCACTACCAAGAAGGCCCCCTGCCTGGTTCCCTGTAATGTCACTTCTCACAGTGAGGGAACCACCAGAAGGGCCTCGGAGCTGGACCTCAGTGTCCGGGCAGAATGATGGGGCTGGAGATGCTCCTTCAGGTATACAGGGCCGAGGCCGTTTAGGGCTTTAAAGGTCAGCACCAAGACTTTGAATTGTGATCGGAAAATCCAATAGTGAGCTGGCTTTGGTATCTCCATTGCCAAGGACTCATGCCTCCCATACCCTCCAGCATTTCTACAGTGAAAATAGGGATGTTTAGCAACAACAACAACAACAGCAATCACCCATCTGACTAGTTTGCCGCAGCCATTCTGGGTGGCTTCCAACTTTCAGGGACTGGGCAGAGGAGGGATGGTGGAGACTGCTTTCCCAGCCTGACCCTTCCAGAGAAGGAGGAGACAGTTCAGAATTACAACAGGGGTTTGAAGAGGTCACAGCTCAGAGGCAGATGAAGGGAAAAGCTGGGAAATAATGGAAGAGGAGGAAGAAGAAGCACCAGGGGAGAGAGAGCTGATGGACACAGTGTCTTTAGAAAGCATTCCAGACCCCATTTTCCCAGAACACGGTGGGTTTTGAAAGTAGGAGAACAAAGAGCTAAAAGGCAGAGGGCACTTTTCAGCATCCATAGGGATGACTCATGAGGAAGTGGGAGGGGGTAGAGATTCATTTGGAGCAACGCCATTATTCCAAGAGGCCACATTCCTAAGCCTCCCGCTTGTGAATATTGAATAAAAGCAAATGGTAAGGACTTTCCCTTGTACAGTGGTACCCCTGGTTAAGAACATAATTCGTTCCGGAGGTCCGTTCTTAACTGTTCTTAACCTGAAGCACCACTGTAGCTAATGGGGCCTCCCACTGCTGCCACGCCACTGGAGCACGATTTCTGTTCTTATCCTGAAGCAAAGTTCTTAACCCGAGGTACTATTTCTGGATTAGCGGAATCTGTAACCTGAAGCGTCTGTAACCTGAAGCATGTGTAACCTGAGGTATGGTCCATTCCTGACAACCTGCCATGGGGGTTGGTTCCTCTGCTGCCTGACACCAACCTATATAAAAACATAATAAAACATTAAATGTTAAAAAGCCTCCCTATACAGGGCTGCCTTTAGATGTCTTCTAAAGGTTGTATAGCTACTTGTCTCCTTGGCTTGGGGGTCACATAACTCCATACCCTCCAACATTTCCCTAGTGAAAATAGGGACATCCTTCACACCCTCCAACATTTCTCCAATGAAAATAGGGGTGGCCTAAGGAAAAGTGGGACATTCCAGGATCAAATCAGAAACTGGGACGGGTTCTGTAAATCCAGGGCTGTGCCTGAAGACTTGGAGGGTCTGGCCTCCTTCCCAAAGCCTTGCTTAAGCTGGCGCCACAAGACCTGGGGGAAGGGTGTCAAATGGCCTTGCACAGGGAGGCGTATTAGCAATATTTGTCCAGTGTCTATACAGCTACACATAACTGCTCTATAAAATACTTGGGGTACTGGCTAATCGAGTTTTGAAATCTCTATACCAGAAAACCATCTAGACTGGAAGCAATTTATTTTGCTTTTCGCGGTGACACAGACGCTGTACCAAATAAAAGGATGTAATAATCCTTCAAATGTCGATAAGAATTATTGAAAGGTAAAGGGTTCTGTTATCTGCTATCTGCTCTCTGATATTTTAGGTGCTTTTTTATTAAATTCATGAGAGATAATATTGTCTCTTAGATAACCTGCTTTGTTAGCATTTGTTCCAAAGTTTAATTTCCTAAACTTTTCTTTTTCCTGAAGATGGCAAGCAAAACATCCAGCTGTATGGTTTCTCCTTCACTTCATTGCCTTCCATCATCTCCAAACCATGTTGTATGCTGCTGTCAGGATCCCTCTGAAAATGGTAGTCCCATGGCCATTTCACTGATCCCTATTACAATACCTGGAATGACCATGACAAATGCTGTGTGATAAATTTTGTGTGCCTTCTCCAGGGTGCACCCTAAATTTAAGTAGATTTCCTTACTGAGGGGTAGAGAAGCTTTCAGGGACCAAAACCGCATTGTGGGCGGGGCCAAAGGCAAAAACAAATAAATGCAAATCTCACATTTTTACAGTAAATTAGTTTCTAATTTACACTGTTCCCCTGTCCTGCATTCAGGCAAGTAAGAGGCATTATCAGACTTCAAGGTTACATTTGAGCCAGGCCAAAAACAATGGAAGGGGTATGAAGTAAGGCTTGTGAGGGGTGTGGCCTCAGAAGAAAGGGTGTGGCCTGGGGGGAAGTGTAGGTGGGGGCAGAGTCCCAAATGCCCATCCCTGAGATAAACATTAGTGCTTTTCTTGTAAAAAATGAGTTGGAAGAGATCTCAAGGGTCACCTAGTTCAGCTCCCTGCAATGCAATAATCTTTTGCCCAACATGGGGCTCAAACCCGCAACCTTGAGATTAAGAGTCTCACGCTCTTCTGACTCGGCTGTCCCAGCTATATTCCAGCTGTCCCAGACGTAACTAGATAGCCATAGAGAAGCAGTAGAGAACAGGGAGGCAGGGGGAATGCTGTTCAGTTTGCATGATATAGTAGTATAACTCATACTTCCAACAACATAAAAGTGATCTGAAATGCAGCTCTCCTTTAAAATTTGCATGTCAGAGAATTTTGCAAGGTAGTTCTCCAACCCCCTGTTGGGATTCATTCTGCAAAGAAACAGTACGGATGTTTGCACCTTTAAGAACAGTTTCTGGGAGCTCTGGGCTGATTGGGTACAGCTGGCCATGACTACAAAAGGAGGAAAAGCTGCAGTTTGAACTTTGCCTGCAGGAAAAAACACCCACAAGCTTTGTTGTTTTGTAATAAAACCTTTATTTGATTTAGTTTTACACCGGTCTCGTGGTGTCATAGCTTCTGTCCATCTGCCACCAGAGGGAAAAAACCCTCTAACACCCTCCGCGGGGGAAAAAAAGTATGCAAAAAATGCATACTCTAGTGAAATGATGTTATATTAGGGGAAATTGGTTGGAAAAAAATGTGTTTACTGGGATAAAATCATTTTTATGAGTACAGTGGTTCCTTGGTTCTCAAACTTAATCCATTCCGGAAGTCCGTTCCAAAACCAAAGCGTTCCAAAACCAAGGCACGCTTTCCCATAGAAAGTAATGCAGAATGGATTAATCCATTCCAGACTTTGAAAAACAACTCCTAAAACAGCAATTTAACATGAATATTACTATCTAACGAGACCACTGATCCATAAAATGAAAGCAATAAACAATGTACTGCAGTCACACAATCAATCAATCAGTAGCTGAACTGGGTTCCACACAGCCACAAAAACAAAACAAAAGAGCCACAAAAACAAACACGCAAAATGAATAGCAAAAACAGGCAGACCTCAGTGTAACAGTCAAAATGGAAGTGTGGCAATCAAATCGGAAGCGTAACACTCAAAATGGAGCATGTTCGGCTTCCGAAAAAAGTTCGCAAACTGGAATACTTACTTCCGGGTTTGCAGTGTTTGGGTTCCAAGTTGTTTGAGTACCAAGGCATTTGAGAACCAAGGTACCACTGTACTTTTTATCATCAAAATATGTAAATAAACTGTATACTGATTAAAAAATGTAGATAACAGAACTTAAAAGTGGAAAAGTGAAAAACTGCAAGAAACCCAAAGTGAAAAGATTTGGTGATCCTCTGAATATGGTTTTCAATAGTTTTTCACAGTCGTTCAGTAAGACTGAATTCCTGCTGGGCATTTGAACTCAACAGGACACACTTCTGAGTAAGCATGCTGCATATTACTCTTCCTTGGTTTAAATCTGAATTGCCAGGAAAATAAGAGCTATTGGATCAGACTCTGTATTAATTTCTGCTACGTGGAACTTTTATTGCACTTCAAATTAAAAGCTGCTGGGTTATTTAAAGCTTCAAAGATTTAAAAATACATTTTAAACTGTGATACCTCTCTTTCTAGGAGCCTCTCCAGTAATTTTTTATTCTTTTTTGTTGTCGTATGTCTAAAAGCTACCTCATAAAAGGTTCAGAGGACACCCAGAGGTGCAGTTTAAAAAGGCAGACTTGATGTCATGAGTGTGTATTTGTTTAAAGCTCTGTTAATAAGGAATTGGCTCCCCGGTAGGGTACAGAAAACAGTACTTCACAGGGATGAAGGGAAACATTAAATGAGAATATATCTATTCTAAAGCAATGTTTTTCCTTTATTTAAAAAGCCCTTTTTGGAAAGTAACTGACAGAAGCTTCAGGAAAAGCTGTATCCAGTAGTGACTATTTCAGATATTTCTTCGCAACAAACGGGTGCTAGAACAAATAGATACTATCCTTTTTCTTTCTATAGTACGGCTGGCTGCAGCCAGTCCATGTGTTTGCAATCGTATCACAGATAATTGAGAATCTGGTAGCAGAAGCGTTTTCCCCCATTGCTTTCATTGTGTGTGTGCATGATTAAGGTAAGCTACATTAGGTTAAGTTTTGTAAGGCAAGGAAAGCCGTCCAAGAGAACGGAAGCATTCTGCCACACAATTCCTTCTTCCTTGCTCAGTTTGGCTGAACCTTAGGGAATGGCTACAGACACGACATGGGCATGCATTGTTAAAGGCTGTACATCAGGGATGGGGAACATCACTGGAATGTGTGATTGAAGTCTGACGATGCCTTTTGCTTGTCTGAATTGAGAGGTGTGCAAAGAAACTAGCATACTGTAGAAAGGTAAAATTTACATTTGTTACACTTTTTATCATATCTCCCCCCCCCCAAAAAATAATGCATGCATTTCAATACATAGCAAAACATTTTTATTTGTTATTTTTGTCGACTTCCCACCCCCTTTTTCCATGGTGTTTTTATTTCTCTCCCTCTTTTGCACCCTGTCTTCTGCCTCTTATAGCTTAACAACACTACTGTACAGTGGTACCTCTGGTTAAGAACTCGTTCTGGAGGTCCGTTCTTAACCTGAAACTGTTCTTAACCTGAGGTACCACTTTAGCTAATACGGCCTCCCTCTGCCACCACACGATTTCTGTTCTCATCCTGAAGTAAATTCTTAACCCAAGGTACTACTTCTGGGTTAGCGGAGTCTGTAACCTGAAACGTTTGTAACCTGAAGCATTTGTAACCCATGGTACCACTGTAATCACTAAGTTCTTCTGTTGCCGATAGTTCAAATCCTGGTGGCGTATTCATCGTATAATATTTTTTCTTTGAAAAGTCTGAAAAGGACTTCCATTTTTCCACAAAACCTTTGTCATTAAGTTCTCTTATTTTGGCTGTTAACTTTGCCAGTTCCACATCGTTCATGACCTTTCTTATCCATTCTTCTTTGGTGGGAACTTCTGGTCCCTTCGATTTTTGTGTGTATAGAATCTTCGCTCCAGTTGTCACATACATAAACAGCTTAATCATATTTTGGGGGGACTTCTGCCCTATAATCCTAGTAGAGAAGCTTCAGGGTTTGTTTGTTTTTTGTATAATCATATTAAACATCATTTTTATCTCCTCATATATCATTTCCCCAAATACCCTCACTAGTATTTTGGCTATAATCTGGTTTGGTCTGGACACTGGTTTAATTTCCAAAGAAGACTGTCAGTAATATACAGTGGAACCTCGGAAGTCAAATGTAATTCATTCCGGAAGGACGTTCGACTTCTGAAATGTTTGAATTCCAAGGCGCGACTTCTGATTGGCTGATAGCTAGGCTTTTTGCAGATAGGAAGCCGTGACAGACGCTTGGGTTCCGAGGAACATTCGAAACTGGAACACTTATTTCTGGGTTTTCGACGTTCAGGAGCCAAAACATTCAGGAACAGAGTGGTTCCAGAACCGAAGTTCCACTATATATGATTTAAGCTTCTTAGCTGTGATTTCACTACAGTGGTACCTCGGGTTACATACGCTTCAGGTTACAGACTCCCCTAACCCAGAAATAGTACCTCAGGTTAAGAACTTTGCTTCAGGATGAGAACAGAAATCGTGCTCCGGCGGCGCGGCGGCAGTGGGAGGCCCCATTAGCTAAAGTGGTGCTTCAGGTTAAGAACAGTTTCAGGTTAAGAACGGACCTCCAGAATGAATTAAGTACTTAACCCGAGGTACCAATGTACTCTTACTTCAATAGTACTTATGAGAAGGTGCTATGAAGCAAGGACACAGGGCTCTTCCTCATGATTGCGAACCTTGGTGTTTCACCTGGCTCCCCCCATTTTTGTTCAAAATGGGTAAAAAAAAAGTGACTACAAAAAAAAAAGTGGGTTTCAGACTTAGAGGGAATTCTTGGGGAGTTTGCCTGTTGTTCTTACCTCAAGAGCAAATATGAATTTTATGCCAGCTTTTGAGCTGACCTGTGCTGGTCCCGGGGGGAAGGTTACCGTTGGCGTAGTCAAAGTCCGGTCCTGGGTCACTGGTCTGGAAACAGCTCACAAGGAGCAAGGTGAGGTCCGAATCAGGAAGCCGGGCGGGGACAGGAACACTGGGGGAACAGGACTGGATGCTGGCCGAAACAGCTCATCAGCGACGTTGCTCCCGCAACCTGGGACTGGGCTGACTGGCCTTTATCTTCTCTGAGGCCAGGGGCGATCCCGGCCCCTAGGAGACCCGCCTCTCCTGGCCTTAAGGCGAGCACTCCTCCTGGGAGAAACCAGTTCCCTTCGCCTCTCTGCCCTGAGCCTCTGCAGTTCAGGAGAGGCTGAAGGGTCACTGGACCCAGGGGGAGACTCACCTGTAGGCACTGAGTCCTCAACCACCTCTGGAGCCAGAATGGATTCACCTGGTGCCTGCTCCTGAGGATCTGGCACAGGTGCAGGCGCTTCAGAATCAAGGCCCTGCCCCAGTTCAGCCGGCCCTGGAGGTGGGGACTCCTGTGCAGGCTGGGATTCCTCCGGTTCAGCCTCTGAATCGGATTCCCAGGCCATCACATGACCCCTTATTCTTCCAGATTCCCAGAATGTCAGCTTGCAGATGCTACATCAGGGCGATCTGCAGGGGTTTCCAAGAAGTGCAGCTAGTCAGGAGGCTGCCTGCAGAGCACTGAACAGCTCCAGAGGATTTCTTTTTGGTTATTAGGGGGATTGTTTATTTATTTAAGTTAAAAGCTCATTAAACTCTTTCAGTCTTGAGTATTGCTAGGGCTGATTCCCTCCCTTTTAAGAGCAAACTCAACTCACATTGCGACTTAACCATGTCTGCTCAAAAGTCCTGCTGAATTCTGCAGAGTTTGATCTCAGATAACTGAGTTTAGGATTATAGCCTAAATAATCAGGATTATAGCCAAAATTAGGAATTCTGAAAGAACTAAATTAGCTGGAAACAATTCTGTTTTGTGAAGGGGGGTTGAACTGAGCTCCTTGCAGATATTCAACTATATTATTATTATTATTATTATTATTAATCTTTCCCTCCTAAACTTTTTTTTAATTACAGTGGTACCTCAGGTTAAGTACTTAATTCATTCCAGAGGTCCGTACTTAACCTGAAACTGTTCTTAACCTGAAGCACCACTTTAGCTAATGGGGCCTCCTGCTGCTGCCGTGCCACTGGAGCACGATTTCTGTTCTCATCCTGAAGCAAAGTTCTTAACCTGAAGCACTATTTCTGGGTTAGCGGAGTCTGTAACCTGAAGCGCATGTAACCTGAAGTGTATGTAACCTGAGGTACCACTGTAGTGGCAGCTGCCGCCCATTGGGGCTGTTGGGGCAGTGTCACAGCACTGTCAGGCAAGCAATGTCCAGGTTGTGGAAATAACTTTTTATTGTCAAAAGTACACCTACAAGTTAAGGGAGGGCATGTCCATCAGCTCTACATCTCTCAGCCTTCCCCAGGTGTGCATCCAATGAGGCAGCTGGAGCAGCAGAGAGGTCCTGTCCTTGACCTCAGTTTATGCATTTCTCTCACCTGAGCTGCGCTCAAGTGAGAACTTTGCTTGCATGTAACCTGTTTCTGCTTCTCCTGTTTCAAACCTCTCCTGGTCCCAGGAGATAATGGAGCATGGAAGGTGGAGGCAGGAGAAGGAGTTGTGGAAGCCCTTGACCTACACCAGCTTGACTTATCTCTCCCACCTCCTATACCTGTTCTTCACTCTCCAACTCCAGTCCTGCAACTTCTCCTGCCTCTGACTCTTGTCTCCTGGCTGTTACGGAATTGCCAGATCACCGATTCCTTCTTCCAAGTCAGTTTCCATCTCCTCTTCTCCTGGTGCCCACTTGTAGCCTTATTGGGGTTCACCGATTGGGTCTGCGTTGCTCCCGGACAGAAGGAAGGAAGTCAAATGACACCGAGGTTTGGTTCAGAGAAAGAGTTCTTTATTTCTGCTGTCCGGAACAGCAGAAAGACACCTGCGTGGTGTGTCCACAGCAAGTCCAAAGAAATGAGAAATTTCATGCAGTATATATATCCTCCAGGCACCCTCTCCCTCCTTCCCCAGGAATCCAACCACGTCAGCCTATACACGCAGGTTGACATCACATATGTTCCTGCTCCGGTATTCTTAACCATAAAAGGGTATTCCTTCCTGTACTTCTGACCATAAAAGGCTATTCCTGTTCCTACTCTTATCTTGGAGCAAGAGGTCACCAACTCCAAGAACACACTCTGGCGCTGTTCCCAGACTAGGTCTGTGTGTCAGAGTGTGTCCAGGATGTAAGATAAGACCTAGACGTGTCATCCCTGTTCTACTGGAACAGTCAAGGCCATCCTTGCCGTCATGAACTGATAAAGGAGAGGGCTCTGAGCACTTGTTTATTCAGCCGGGTTTTTGTTTATACATTGACTCAGAGCTCAAGTTAATGGATTTTAGCTAAGGAAAAATAGGGATTTTGGTGCCTGTTTCAAACTGCCTGCACAGTCAGTTTTGGGTTTGGGAAACCCATTCCTTCACACCCATCAGTTTCCAGCCACCACTCTTCATTGTCAAGCTGATAGGACAAGACAACTCATAGGGTCTGAGATCCCTTCAGGCCCACCCAATAAAAATATTTGAGAGGGCCCCCCCAAAGTTGGTGAGCATTGCCATTCAAATGGCATGTGCTCTCTGCCTCTTGTGATTGATTACATGGTGCGGGGCATAACTGCCGTCCCCAATATTTTATTCAAGTTGGCACTCCTTGTCCAGCCACAGGAAGAAAACAGGGAGCCCAAGGTGGAAACAGAACTAACAGAGCTAACTAATGCGATTTTGCACTTATCCTCTTGCCTGATGAGTTCTTCAACAACAACACTGAGACTAAGGAGAAGGAAGCTGACAGACAGTCCCATCCCCTAGACTAGCTATAAGTAAGAAAACAAGCAGATGGGGCAGTACCCCATTTGCCCTAATGGATCAGCCACAAGTGATGTTTATGCTTTCTAAACCCTTCAATAGTATGCAATGGGGAGGGTCAATTGACTGGGTTTCTGTTGCATATTTAAAGTCATCATGAAACCATGGGAAATGTGTTGTGCCCTTTTGTCAGTTATTTATGTTTTCGTGACACCACAAAACTAAAAGTGGCAGTCCCATTTAGACATACTTGAGGTCAATATCTGAAGGAAGGACTACTCAATTAGGCACCTCTGAGGCCGCAGCATGTCTCCTGCCTTCAATTAGAAGAAAAGGGATACTATAACTCTTCTGGAAGCAAGTGCCATTATCATTTTCTCCCTTTATATATCCTTCTTAACAGCACCTAACTAAATGGATGTGAAGTATCACCCCGATGGCACTCGGTAATGAGATGGAGATGGACTGCTTCTTCTGTTTACAGAAGGTAGGCTTAATCCTGAGAGATGTAGTTGAAATAAATAAATAATATACAAAATGTAAAAAGTTAGTAATGATTCTTAATCACGAAAAAAATATATGAATATAGCTTTTCTCCTCCTCCTCCTCCTCCTCTTCCACCACCACCACCACTTTCTATTCTGGTTCTACCATCTTCTCAAAGTGGATATTTGTTTCTCAGACATCTTCCACTAAAGTAATTAACACACACACCCATGAGAGATAAAGCAGATTTTAAGCATTCAAATGGCTAAATATTAGAGATGAGTGGAAACACTGGTTCCTTCTCCAGAAATCTGTGATAAAGCAAGCAATGAATCTGTTTGGCTTGACCCAAGCTTCAAAGTGAATTGCCCCCAATTTCACACCCTACATATTGCCCAAGAGATTTCTGAATGGGCCCAGAAGCTGCCAGAGTGTGGCACCCCTGGCCAATTTGAGAAGACAGAAGCATCTGTGGATAGGTTGGCCCAGTGCAAGCATACTGGCAGAGCCAATTTGGTGCTCCAGCTAGTGCTTTTGCACCATGCTGACCTCCCCACAACATCACACCTCATCCTTTGCTTTCTGGTAAGCACCAGCAACCCACCTGCTGAGAAGCCAGCCATCTCTCCTCCTCCCCCCAACTCAAGTGAGTCATACCTGGGAGAAAAGTGTTTCATTCTCTCTCCCTGTTTCACCTTCCAGACCATGCACATACATAGTTATGCAGAATAGCCTATGAAATCATCAATGCATGGTCCATCAATAACTAAACACATTACATACTTGTGAGGTGGGGTGAGTACCATGACATCACATGGGTGAAATCCTGTGAGGCAACCATCTTATTTTTGCCCTATACAGTTTATCAGGAAAAAGACTGCACATGATGAGACACAGTCACTTCCTAGAGTGTCAAAGAGGTTCTACTCTTGCTATGCTACCAAGATATTCCAATGGAATGGTTTGCTTTAAAAAGAGAAAAAGAAAAAGGCAGCTCTCAGACCACCTCATAAGTACAGATTGCCCCAGTAAAACTATGCTGATTTTGCAGGACTTTGCCTTTTTGAAAAATCCACACATAAGTGGGATGAGACAGATTTGTTTTCATGTACTCAAGAAACTAGCACTGGACAGAAATAAGGTTGATTGGCTCATTGCTAGAGAGTAAACACTTTTCATAAAGTCACCCAGTGAATGTGAGACTCAGTTGAGGTTTGACCAGTGTCTTTATTATAAAAAAAGGTAAAGGACCCCTGACAGTTAAGCCCAGTCACGAACGACTCAGGTTGCGGCGCTCATCTCGCTTTACTGGCTGAGGGAGCTGACGTTTGTCCACAGACAGTTTTTCAGGTCATGTGGCCAGCATGACTAAGCCGCTTCTGGTGAAACCAGAGCAGTGCACAGAAACGCCGTTTGCCTACTTGCACTGGCATGCTTTCAAACTGCTAGGTTGGCAGGAGCTGGGACCGAACAAAGGGAGCTCACCCCATCGTGGGGATTCGAACCGTCAACCTTCCGATCGGCAAGCCCAAGGCGCAATGGTTTACATCACTGTAAGTGCCCCCCCCACGGTGTGCCATTTTGTCACCCCCTCAGGGAAGGGGTGGGCTGTACCCCTTGCACCCCCTTCCTACGCCCCCGTGCACAGGACAATTCTATACCTCCCTGCTGCTGTCAGATACCAATCCTGCTATAACATACAACGTTGCCAGATTCTGCACAGCAGTGTCCAAGATTCGACGGATGATGACCTGTGCCCCAAACTAGAGATAATGAGCACTCATATTGGAGTGCTCTGTAGACTGATAGCTGTGGTCTTATATATACTAGCCTTTTGCATTTTTTCACTCTTGTCTGATATTCCTAACCCTTCTTTTAGACTTTCTTAGCTTCTTTGAATTCTTTTGAACCTATATATATATATATATATATATATATATATATATTCTGTTTTAACTCCTTTTAGTGGTTTTTTTAAAAAAATAAATATTAAATGATTTTAAATGATTGTACCCCTCCCTCCTTATGCTGGTCTACGACTGTAAGAAAGTGTTGATTGATTAATTGATGAGGTTTGAAGTTGTAAAGTCCTGGTGTACAGTTCACAGACTTTAGCCTCCATGCTACACCAACACCCAGAATTTCTCAATGAGGACACCAGTGTTATGACTGTTGTCTGTGGCTGCCTTTGATGTACTTGCCTGCCTGTTGATAATTCCTTACTTGGCCCTCACATATCTTATAATTATTATGATTATAATATTTCTTTAGCACTCACATATTTTGTCATTATAATTCTTTTATAATCATTAGAAAAGCTTTCTTCACTGGACCATCGATAGCTACTACAGCAGACACACCTACTACCAGCTGGGGCAGATACTATGTTCTGATTTTGCTAATATAGCAAAGAAAACAGTTCTGTTTTGCGTCTTGCTGGAAGGAAGAGTCTTGAGGAGCTTCAAATGCATGCTGTTTGCTTTGGGGAAAAACTATTGTAGCTCAGTGGTAGCTGGCAAAGCTTTTGCTTTGCAACTTAGCTTAGGGAAAGGCTGTAGCTCAGTGGTACAGAATCTGCTTTGCATGCAGGAAGTCCAAGGTCCGATCCCCGGCGTCTTCAGTTAGGCCTGAGAAAAGACTCCTTGTCTGAGACCCTGGAGAGCTGTTGCCAGTCAATGTCGACAGCACTGACCAAAATAGGCTGACACTCTGAATCAATATAAGGCAGCTTCCTAAGTGATGCTGCTGCACAGACTGACATCTCCAGTGAGCTCTCGAACAATGAGGAATTACCGTATTTTTCGCTCTATAGGACGCACTTTTCCCCCTCCAAAAATGAAGGGGAAATGTGTGTGCATCCTATGGAGCAAATGCAGGCTTCAGGCAGCTATCCGCAAGCTTCGGAGCGCGTCGAAGGCTTGCGGATAGCAGCCTGCAGCCTGAAGCCTGGGGAGCGCAGCACCAACTGCCGCTGTGCTCCCCGGGCTTCAGGCAGCTATCTGCAAGCCTTCTGAGCCCAGCGGGAGTTCCCGCCAGGCTCAGAAGTCTTGTGGAAAGCAGCCTGTTCTCCACAAGCCTTCTGAGTGCGATGGGAGTTCCCGCCGGGCTCAGAAGGCTTGCGGATAGCAGCCTGTTCTGGGGGCTGGGGTCAGGGGAAGCTCGGGCTTCCCCCATCCCAGCCCCGCGGCTAAAAACAAAGCCGCGTGTGGCTAAAGAGAAAGCCAAGACAGCTGTCTTGGCTTCTTTGCTCTTTGGGGCTGGGGGGGATAATATTTTTTTCCTTTATTTCCCCCCCTAAAAACTAGGTGCGCCCTATGGTCCGGTGCGCCCTATGGAGCGAAAAATACGGTAATCTCTGAAGAAGTGCCACCCCTGGAACTTCTCCCTGCTCAGGGAAAGTTGGGAATAACATGATGACATGTTAAAATGCAACTCCAAATTAACATTAGGAGTCTACAGTCTGTTGAAAATTTACCTGAAAGCTTCCTTGAAAGGCTCTAGCCCGCATGCTAGAATAGTCTCACTATGTGTCCTTACAATGCAATAAAGCTGCTTTCCTGTATTATCTCTCCTTTTTTATTATTTATTTACCTGGATAGCTTTGAAGGGACCTTCATTGTACGGCAGTCTTATCGTGGCTCTGCAGCTCTCCCTCATTAACATAGCTGGGGCATGCAAGAGGAGTCATGGCAAGCAAATGATTCTGTTATGCAGGAGGTATCGCTTTTATGTTAGGTCTTCAAACTGTTGGATGGGCAGATAATTTCTTGTGTTGTAAATAGAAAGAGGCTTATGGGGGAGGAATCAGGAAATACTGGGCAATAAAGTGGCACATTGTGCACGGATAAGCTTTAGAAGAGGGTCACAGAATTTGAGAAATTAAGAAGAATTTAATTGCCTTGCTGTAAGGCTATTTTCGATCACTTCTTCACAGGTTGATACCCAGAACCTTATCTCTCTGATGGCTAGGCACTTGGGATCCCATCCAGGCAACTAGAAAACTTTGTTCCTGAAAATAACCAAAGAGGGTTATACCGTATTTTTCCGTGTATAAGATGATCCTTTTTGCTAAAAAAAAAAATTAGGCAAAAATTGGGTGTCCTTATACATGGATAGTGAATGCAGAGGGGGGAGTTGCGATTAATGGCAGCAGCAAGGAGGAGATTGGCAGCGGCAATTGGGCAGGGGATTGGTGGCTGCGGCAAGGCTTGCTGGTGATTGGCTGTGGCTGTGGCAAGTGGGCAGGTGGGTTGTTGTTGGTGGGCAAACAACTGGCAGCTGCAGTGAGGTGTGTGATCGGCAGTGGCTGTGGCAAGCGATCGGCAGTGAGCGATTGATGGAAGTGACCTCCTCCCCCAAGCTAAACAATTTATTAATTTTGGGTTTAAAAAATAGGGGTCATCTTATACCTGGGGGCATCTTATACATGGGAAAATACGGTAATTTCTATGGCATGCTCATTCATTTTGGGAAGACCACAGCTCAGTGTTTTCCATGCAGAATGCCCCAGGTTCAATCCTTACCATTTTCAGGCGGGATGGGGAGAGAAACCTGCCTGAATTCCTAGAGAACTGCTTCCAGCCATTGTAGACAATAGTGAGATAGTGTAGAGCAGCTTCCTGTGATTTTCTCGATTCAGATCAATATACTAGAATGCTCTGGTCTAACCTTGTCCACTCCGGGACTTACAGAGAAGTCTGGAAGTATGAAGCCCAGTCTGTTTGTAACTACAAGCAAGGAAAGAACTCTGAAATAAACAGCTCCATCTAGCAAGCATAGCCTGAGTCCAGTGTCTTATTTCTAAGAGTCTCAAGCCTCTAAACAAGAACAATGCACAATCATATTGACATTTGAGTTTAACAGGGTTATTCTTAGGTCTGTGTATCTAGAAGTGCAGGATTAGTATAACCACTAAATACAGCAATATCTGACTGTTATCAATATTTTCATCTTGCCCTAAAGTGTTGTTGTTGTTTAGTCATTTAGTTGTGTCCGACTTTTCGTGACCCCATGGACCAGAGCATGCCAGGCACTCCTGTCTTCCACTGCCTCCTACAGTTTGGTCAAACTCATGCTGGTAGCTTTGAGAACACTATCCAACCATCTCGTCCTCTGTCGTCCCCTTCTCCTTGTGCCCTCCATCTTTCCCAACATCAGAGTCTTTTCCAGGGAGTCTTCTCTTCTCATGAGGTGGCCAAAGAATTGGAGTCTCAGCTTCAGTCCTTCCAGTGAGCACTCAGGGCTGATTTCCTTAAGAATGGATAGATTTGATCTTCTTGCAGTCCATGGAACTCTCAAGAGTCTCCTCCAGCACCATAATTCAAAAGCATCAATTCTTCAGCAATCAGCATTGCACAATTGGGACACTGGACTCCCCACCCCATGCTCCTCTTTATGGTAGCAGTGCTACCATCCTCCTCTCCCACCTACTTTCCCTGTTCATTTTCATCTCCCACTGCTCCCTCACTTGCTTAAAAACACCAAACATTGTTTTCACAGTCTGGGGATGACTCAAGCATGTTCAATGACACATTCAATTCAGGCCAAAACACTCAGTGAAGGCTTTGAGTCCGGCTGGTGAGAGGCATGATGAAGGGAGAGTGTCAAGGTCTAGACGGAGAAGCCCAGAGGGCAATATTCAACCTTTCGGCCTGATCCTCCACCCTCCTACCCCATAATTTGTTGTTGTTGGCATCTGTCTGTCATGAGAGCCAATGGAGTGTGTCCTGGTGGGTGAAGTCAAGCCACTGGAGAATCACAGCACCTGCTGTGGCTGCAGAGAGTTGTAGCTGCTGCCTCCCATGTTGTTTTTGCTGCATTAGCGGCACCAAAGTGACCTCCCCAGGGCACAAGCCTGGACAGTGTGTATGCAGGTCCTGGGCTGTCCAGATGACAAGACCCACCCCCCTTGACCTTTCTGATAAAGCCCAGAGAAATGCAGAGCAATACATTTGGCACTAGCTTGGCTGCGAGAGTTATTCTTAACCATTAGTCTCATCCATTCAACCCACCAGAACCTGTCATCACATTCAGGGGAAGTCCCTAAGTAACTGAGGGTTTGAGACCCATAAGCTGCCCTCAACTGGTTTAGCCAGCCAGCCAAAACCATTTCCTGAAAACCAAATATTTCTTCTGAAAGTGATTTCTATGAAATACTGTATACAAAAAGGGCCAAATTAACAGGGCCACTATTGATACTAATTATATTCTCATATTGTCTTGGATAAGACAAGGCCACAAAAAGCAGAATGAAGACTTGTGCTTTTTTCCCTTTATTAACTTGATCAATGGATTTCATAACTAGGGCCTCTTACAACTGAGCTTTTGCCTAAATAGCCCTAGATGAAACTGTGCCTTTTCTAGCTCATAATAAACCCTCCCCGCAATATTTAATTGCAAAGAAAGTATGACAAAAGCAAGTCGTCTAGATGTCTATGATCTACATAAATATAGGGATCTTAATGATGAAATTATCAGTTTGACAGCTACATTATGAAGGAATGAATGGATAGAGTCTCTCAAAAGATGCTTTTAATTTGGATGGGAAGCAAATATAATACAAAATCTTAAATGTGCACTATTAGATGACATTATCTGCCATGAAACCAGTGAGCTGACAAAAATTAGAATGTGATTGAAGAAAGACTCCTGGAAATAAATGCATATACATATATATATATATATATATATATATATATGGAAAAATAAAGGCATTTCTAGACCAAATCATAAGCTCCTCTAGGAGTGTAGTTGATGTCCTGGACCTCAGTGGAGTGGATGCCACTTTTGTGAAGCAGTACTTGGAATAGAGCAGCATTAACTACTCATGGGAAGCCATCCAAAACAAAGTGGCTTTGCTTACATGGTTAAATTGATCAGTGTGGGTTGAGCATCACACAGTCAGTGCTAGATGGAGACCATCTACCAAGCGAATCAGCTCCCCAGCTGTGACATTAAAGGAACATAGGAAGCTGTCATATATTGAGTTTGACCATTGACCTATTGTGATGGGATGATGAGCTGCTTGTGCGTAAAATCGTATCCCCTCAGAGTTTGTTCAAGTCCACAAACCTCTGTCTGTGACGGAGCCCCTCAGACATGGCTACTCTAGTCACTAGCAGATTCCGACAGTGGTTGCTTTCGTAATCGCTTCCAACATAAAAGCTCCTTAACGGAAACACGTCTTCTGGAATCTCTGCGTGACAGTTTCCGGCGAGGAGTGGGTGTTCTTACAGGAGGTCCTGAAACCTCTCCACTGTTTTCGCTGGAAGTGTCTCTGAGCTATCCCTCCAGCTCAGCTCCTCTCCCCTGCTGGTTCCCTCTTCAGCTGCTGCGTCTCTCCCAACCTGTGTGAGCCCTTTCACCTCCCTGTTGGTTCCCTCTTCAGCTGCTGCGTCTCTCCCAACCTGTGTGAGCCCTTTCACCTCCCTTCCGTCCGATGGCAGTTCCCTGACATCCACCTCCACACCAGGGACCCCTTCACCCCCTCTCGCCCCTCCTCTACGGGCGGTGAGGAGGCAAAACCCCGGAATGAACTTCCTTCATCTTCCGATGTCTCGAACACTTCTCTCAACCTGTTGCGGTTCCTGGTCTCAAGTACACCTCCTCCTCAGAGTCCAT